AGTTTGGTTTACTGCATTGTTGCAAAGCATACTAGGGCAATCTTCCTCATGGATGGATGGATGCCTTTGTGGAGGATTTTCTAAGGGAATTGGATCATATGCACCTTGTGAATGAGGAAAAGGACGAAAACGCGTACTGCCGTCAGCTCTTTCGTCTGGAATCAAACCCGATCGGAACTACTAGTTTTCAACGATTTTACCGTTCGGCTGATATTCTGCAGTCCTAAGTCGAAAACCCTTAAAGGTTCTGCCTGTAACGCAATCTAGCCATAACATTCTGCAGGCCAGAATGGTGATTCTATATGGCACTTGCAGCCAGGCTTTGTTATAAGAGCCGTTCCCACTGAGGTTTATCTGAGGTAATGGATACAACCATCTCCAAAACCAGTTCTTTCCGATAGGGCAGCAAGCTGAAAAATCTGAACTGCAGGCATAGCGGAGCTAGTCGACACAAGGAACTGAGTCCGTTAGCTCAGATAAACCCCAGTGGGAATGGCCCTTTAGGCAACATAAAGTATTAAAATGATTCATCCAAAAGACTCTCAGAATTAATTGTATGTCATAAGTTACCTCGAAACATCTTTGGAAACCATATGTTTCCGATTACGGTATTTGTAAATCGAGGCCATTCGTTATCCTAGACAATTCTTCTTCAGTTAATTTGCTCATGAACCACACACTTTCGAGATTTGAGGTTCCACTGTAATTGAATAGCAATTCAAACTTGATTATATTCATCATAAGTTTAACAAGTTATGCAAGTAAACTTCCATAATAAAACCATGTTTTCTTTATCAGCCCTTACTGGTATAAACAAATACATCACAGACTTTTTTGATAATAAAACTAATTGTATGGTATTTTCTGCTACTGGACCTCAGTATTGGGGAACTTTACGGAAACTTCCTGTTAGATATATTAGGTGCAATATTTTCTTTACCTTCATTGCTTGCAAATTTTCCAAGAAAGTATTATATATGAAATGTTGTTGTTGTTTTGTCCACGTATTTCATGTAAGAATGGTTGCTAGAGTCTGAAGTGGGTTCTATTTCCACTCCAGTTGTGAGGGAAAGCACCCCGAAAGTTGATCCGAGGGTCTCCCACTCCTCTTCTCTAGCAATAAACCACATGAGATAATTTTCGGCTGGCCATATATTAAAAGCAAATACAGTTAGAGCCATTATTTAGCTGCAAAACATGCAGAGCATGCTGCAAAGGCACTATACATTTACAAACATCCATACCTTCTCTGAGGTTCGAACCCGGGCCCTTCGGTAACGCAGTACACTCCCATAACCGTTATACGTTAGGGCGGCGTTATAGATGTGTAGAGACATTAGGTTTTTTTTTTTTTTTTTATGTGAAAGATGAGAAATGCCCTCGCGAACTCGAACGACAGACATCTCGAATACGCGCCGAGTGTGCTACCCATTACACCACGAAGGCATCCTAAGAAAGCGTGAGATATACCTTATAAATGTAATAACTTTGTCATATGACCAAAATCCTTTCTTGATTACGGAACTCATCATTACCTGTTACATAGAAAACCCTCGGCGGAACACCAAACTTTTAATACAAATATTACTGAATACGGCAACAGATTTATTTACTTTGCTTGCTTGCTCCACGTATATGAAAACAGATTTATCATTATCTGTCGAATATTTAGAAATATCATTCTTTGAATAAAATTTTACTTACTTTTTATTCGTTGAATAAGTAAGTTCTCATTCCATTTCTATTTTATGAATGTCAATAGTATAACACCATACAAATCATATTCATGGATAATTCCTTGGAAAGCAGTAAAATACATCAACTTGCGCTCCAAGAAATTAAGATATTCTTATCATTATTTTTAGTGCAATAAATAACAGTTTCTATGGCGCTTCAAAATACTATAATTCGGGAACTATTAAAAAATGCCTCATTTGCCTTATTGGTTTGTAAATGATGTCTGAACTACAGATTTAGGTGATAATCCAAATCTCTACACTAGATTCAGGTCAAAAGCAATGTACCGCATACAATATTTCTCTTCATAAGATAGGGAAAATGTAAAAAGTAAGCTTTTGTTATATGTGCTTTAGAGGTAAAATGGACTTACATACACACCTAAAGTATAGCATCCTTTCTATAAACATATAAATCATAAAACGTTCAGAGTGACATATTACACGTTGGCTTAGACGGCATTAATTTGTTTTTTTAGAGATAGTTTCCCTTTGACAGTCCTCCACGAAAGCATCCTTCCCTCTTTGGCAGACAGCCCTCGAGGCTTTGCCGTAATTACAGAAAGTGTTAAATATTATGAAGAAGCAGCTTTATATAATTTTTTTTAAGAATATAACATTTTATTGCACTTTTGCGTCATAACTAATTAAAAAAACACTTCATTATATAGTACAGTAATTAATTGGCTTAAGGGACCCGTTTTCTAATTACACATTGCCTAAGATATTAAATATTCCATATATTCTTTGGTAACAAATATTGTAATATATGCATACATATTTATCCATTATAACAAAACAGTAATAATTAACAAGTGATATTTTTTGTCAAATTAATAATACTTTTTACCACTTGTTGCAGTCCTCCTGTACCGAGTAGTTGGGAGACCTGAAATTCTGCTAATTAGACCCGGCTTACAAACCTGATGAAAGGACTAGTTGCATGGTTGGATTTTGTGGTTTTTCTGATGTGTAACGTAAATATGAGTCAGTTTCCCTTAGGGAATCCTCCGCGAAGTTATACCTCCCCTTAAGCATATAAGATTCGTGTGTTTTGTGGTATTCAAATAATCTAATCCAAAAATTGTTGCACATTTGTTTGGATTATAATATATTATTTTTTGGATATATTATTGCTTGGATAACATACAACATCCATCTGCAGATAGCCCACGAACGCGTAGAATTTTTTAGGAGCGTAATGGTCGCACCACAGTCGGAGCATTTAGACAAGTTCAAACTACTCGAGACATATAGCTAAACAGAAAATATTGAGGATTGAATGAGGAGTTCGAATACTTTACTCGGTATGGCATCAGCCTGAGTGTAAGAAATACTTGTACACATTCTTAAATATCTATAAAATATCTTACCAGAAGCATTTGGACCAGAACCTTTGCCAGAATAATTATTTAAATTTAGCATACATTCATGTCTCCATTATAAAGACTTCCTTTAAATTTGTTAAGTAAAAGTAGCAGGAAAATGCGTTTTGACTCATTATTAAACTAAGTGTTAAAATAACTGAAATCCTAAAAGATTAAATGGTATTCAAATCCAAATATTTCGAAATAAAAATGGTAAAAATCCCATAGAATTGCAATGATTCACTTAATTGATTTCAAGACAAGGTTAAATTCCATTCATTTAAAACGAAATAAATGTATAATTCTAGCTTCCATCTAAAAAAATCTGTTTAAACAAACAAACCACCTCCTAGTGGACAAGGGATTATGAAGAGTTTGATTACTGAACTGCGAAAGGGTGCATTTACAAATTCAGTATTAAATGCTTATTTTAAAGAAGTGAATTCCTAAGATGCTGATATGAAACATATTTTTCTTGCTTAGAAATGGACTGAAAAAGCATAGACAATTTTAAAATTTGAGTTACATGTCATAAGAAAGTCAGATGTCACATATATATAAGTCACGGGGAAAATGTCAAATAATTTAATCTTATAAAATATTTTTTCTTTGAATTTTCTCGATTTTATGAGTCATTGTTTGCACTGTTTTGAACACAATGCAGTTTTCGTTCTACTTTACTGTATCTGAATATCTTTTATTAATCTGCTGTCAATCTTAATTTAGACTATATTTTTTTAAAATAACACCATTATTTATTTTAAAAAAAGTTTCATTCATCCCAGTATTTTACAGCGATTGCTTACACTATTATGAAATATTTCTTTTTATTCTACTTTTAGGTATCTGGATATGATTTTAGAATTTTACTTTTAATTTTAATTTTGAACTATTACCGCTAAATTGCACCAGCTTTCAGCTCATGATATACTTTCCGGTTTATTAGAATTTATTACGTTATTTGAACACACACACACACAGGCACACTTATATGTATATATATATATATACACATATAAGTGTGTCTGTTTATATATATATATATATAATTTTCATTTGAATGCATACTAGGAATGAATATGCACTTTTTTTTAAGTCGTGGGTTACACGTGGTTAGAATGCTAGTATATGTAAGGGGTAAGACTGCTTTTCACGATGAATGAAGTAAAATGGGAAAAACGACAGATCTTTCAACATTTGAAAAACGGCTCATTGTTGGTGCCCGTTTAGTAGGGGTTTCGATTTCGAAGACAGCAAATATCACTGGGTTCTCAAAACCGGCCATATCAAAGGTTTTCAAATGTTGGAATCGCAACCCACAGTCCATTTCTAATAGACGTCACTGCGGTTCGAGCACAGTTTTCCAACGATTGGCGTCGTCTCCAACGAATTGCACTACAGAACAAGGGCTCTACTGTGCTTCAAGTAACACAGATCGTCAACAAGGCTCCCAATGAATTTCAGTTCGAACCATGCATAGAGAATTGCAAAAGATAGGAATGTATAGTCGGATGCCTGTGCGAAAAGCACTTATTTCTGCCCCCATGCAAAATGTCGCTTGCAGTGGTATCGAGAAAAAAGACTTTGGACATCTGAGGATTGAAAACGGGTTATATGGTCGGATGAATCACGATGCACCTTATCTTGCAGAGATGGAAGACGTAGAATTTGGCGAGAACCCCATGAAGCCACAACTTCATCTTGCCTTACTCGCACTGTGCAAGGGTCGCATAGTGCGCATGGGAGTATCATGACATAGGGCATGTTGTGCTGGCATGGAAGTGGTGCTGTGGTGCTCCTCGAGAGTAAACAAACATCCATGAGATACCTTTATATACTGGCAGATCAAGTGCACCCGGCAATATAGCATTTTTATCCTGATGGCGTCAGATACTTTATGGAGGATAATGCCACTATAGATCGTGGTAGAGGTGTTCAAAATTGGTTCGCTAAACATGTGTTTGACTTCCAACAACTTCCCTGGCCACCGCGTAGCCCGTATCCTAACCCCATAGAAATTGTATGGGATATGGTAGAAGGACACATCCGACAGCACTCCCCTCTTCCATCTAATTTACAAGAGCTAAAAAGCTGCATAGCCAATTCTCTGGACTTAAATGCACTCCAGAAGCATGCAGACTCGATGCCCAAACGAATCAGAGCAATTATCTGTGCAAAAGGTGGTCCAATAAAATTTTGATTTAGGGTTTCTAATTCATTGGCCAGTGTGAGTAGATAGATATATATTGTATATGTACGTACCTACTGCAAATTAAAACAAAATAAATACATACAAGGTGTTTTTACATTTTATCAGAAAAATGCTTCTTTACGCTAAACTAAAAAAGTAAGTTTTTAAATTCGTACAAAACCCTGCCGTGTAAATTAAGTTATTATTTGTAAATAGTTATTTAAAATAAAAACTGCATTTTTTAATTGATAAGAAAAATGATTTAAAAATCTCAGACAAAAGGGCTCATTTAAATTTTGATACCGTTTATCATCAGATATCACCCACAGAGATTACCCAGGTGGAATAGCGAAACATGTTATGGGGTACCAGGATGAATATGTATTTACATTAACATGGTAACATTATGTATCTTCTGAGTATTTGAAAAGTGAAAAAATATTTAATCTAAATTTATAAAAATATTCACCGTTTTTAATTAGTTATATCCTGAATTAAATGAAATTTTATTTTAATTAATCACATAAAAGAGAAAAAATAATATTCTTAATAACTGCATCTGTCGCAAATAAATAGCTTAGTCTGTTAATCAATAACATATAACTTAAATTCGAAATGTATACTTTACATTTTACCAAATGGTAACAGTTGCAAATGAAAAGTGAAACATGACATTCAAGTAAAAATACGCAAACTCTCTTTCGGTACTGATAGCCATTTTGGGTTAAAAGGCTGTAGTCACATTTGCTGTTTATAATTGCTCAATTATTCAATTATAAAATACTAAATGAAGTTACATATAATATCATATTTTTTCATTCAGATACATGATGCAGAGATTTTTTTATAAAATTCTCTCAGAGTTTGGTGTATTTCAATGTAATGTCTTCAGTAACGCGGCAAGGTGTAAATTAACTCTTTGAGGAGATGTTGACAAACTGGTGAATTTCGAAAATGAAATTAGTTTCTAAATTTAATCATGGAGCAAAATTTCTAGTCCCTGTATCTTCTCCATATTAAATTGCATTAAAAAAGCCAATTTCATTTTAAAATTCATCCAACCGTAATAATATTTAGTGCAAATTCAATTCATTTTCTAAGATCTATAGTTCAGAAACAAACCTAATCCAAACATTTTCCCCTTCAAATGAATTATTTTGTAGCCGTAATAAATGATTTAGGTTCCTTTCGCTTGAAATACTGATTGATCAGCGATTATTTCCTGTAAAAAAATGGAACAAGAAACTGGTATCAAGGCCACAACTCTCATTTATATCCCTACTAACTTTCTTGATATATCATTCATGGATTTTTTTTGCTTTTGGATTTTGAAAAAGCAGATTGTCCAGAAATTCAATCTACATTCCTCCTTGGAATTTGGAAAGCTGTTCGAGAGCAATGGGATAAAATACCTCTACAAAAGCTTTATTGTTTTGGAAATTACGGTGTATGAACATAGTGAAGAATAAGGGTTATCAAACAGAAAATTTAAAATACAAAAATTTTAAGTAAAATGTTTCTGTAAATACAATGAATATCGTCTAAAAATGTGCCCGCAGTATATTAGGGAATAGAAGTTAAAAGATATTTGGGAGGAATATAACTTAATGATTACAATAGCTAACATGATACAACAGGCAGGAAAAGAAGTTAATTGTGGAAATTCCATATTCTGTTCTCAAAAATATGAAATTATGTAACGTATATATATATTTATGTGTACTTTGAATTTATAATAAGTAAGCAAACAACAAGCTTCTTTCATTGGGAAAGAAACATAGGGCAAGAAAATATATAAGTCAAGCATGTATCAAGCAAATATACGAATCAAATACAAGCAAGGAAAAAAAAAAAGAAATGCTCATACATCTAATTTTGCTTTATCACTCCTTGCACCAGTGCATTAGATACTTTTGATAAGATATCAAGTATCTAATTCATAACAGTTTTAGAGATAGAATTTAGAAATAAATGTAGTTTACACGAGGGAACAATTAAGGTCTTATTCTTCAAAATCCTAATAAGCTAACGCAAAACATTTCCTACCATCAAATATATTCCGAATTAATACGATATCCAGACATCCAGCTTAAAGTTTACGAATTCAATTTTACAGTGTGTATTGAGTACTAATATCAAAGCATTTGTATATAGAATGCATCTATATTTTCAGGCCTATGAAGAAACAATGTATTAACAATTTGCTATGAAATCCCTTTATTCTTCTCATCTCACAATTATTCACCGAAAGCCAAAGAAAGCAGCATTTCCAATTGTTTGAAATGGTAGCTTTAGAAATTACTTTCAAGAAATACGCTGATTGCTTGTGTGATGCGGATTAATTTTTTTATTTAACACATAAATATTTATGAGTTAAAGGGACTTGTTTGGACTTGTTTTATTCAATCGTTAACATATTTAAAGCATAGTATGTAATATAGTGAGCAGTGTTATGGAATTCTTTGAATTCGTTTGGTACACAATGGATATTATTTTGAGTATTCTTTTGAAATTTTAAATTAGTTTTATCCAAATTGTTTTCGCCCTAAATTATTAGATTTGAATATTAATATACTGATATTTCTTTTATATAGTATCGATTTTATTATACTGTCAATTATACTATTTTGTTTACTGCTATTTATATATACTGAATTGTTAGATATTGATTTAAAATTAACGCTTTATTATATCATTACCTGAAGCATTTAATAGTAGAGAATGTTTAATACAGTTTGATAAACGTGAATATTTTATACTAAAGGAAACTTGGGTTCATTGTACAGGAAATTTTGCTATTTGTATTTTAGTGGTTCGTCATAATTAGCAAATGTTTTGTACAATACAGTGTTACTTAAATCATTCATGAGAACGCTCCTTATGAATATACATTATCGTCTTTGGGGTGCAAGTTAAGCAAAAAGTTAACTTGCACCACAAATGTAAATTTCACACTAGGCAAAATTGCAGCTAAGATGTTGACTATTTTGTATAAAACATCTGTGGATTTTGAAGGCGATCAGGCACAGATCCCTCCTCTTCATGAGGGATTTATTACACTATATTTGTATTATAGTTTTAAAGAATTAAAAATGGATGAGCTAAATAAAAAGTCAATTTCTCATGATCTGAGTAATTTCTGATGATCTCATGATCCTCTTTTCAACGTCAGTTTCTCATGATTTGAGTAACATTCAGCAATTATAGAAGACACAGATGGATAATCCGAATCAAATAGTACACCTTTTTATGAAGCAAGTAAATAGTAAACGGAATGTTTAAATAAATGAGTATATAATGTTAGAGCAAATCACTGTTTTTCAGGCAAAAGCTTAAAACGTTCTCAACTCTAAGTATTTATATTTAAGAGCTGTAGAAGCAAAAGAACAGACGAGATCATAAAACATTTAATGAATTCCATCATTCCATCTCATTTATGTCTATGAAATATCAGGAATGACATTTAGAAACTATATATGTATAATTTGCTTTATAAACTAGAGAGAATTTAATTGAATAAATCATATCCTTTAAAAATACAAAAACATAATACCTTGTAAAAATGTATTGTTCAAAACATAAAAGTGTATTCTTTTGCCAAAGTTATTCCTATATTTACGTTATGTTCGATTACTGTATTATAGAAAGCTCATGGCTCATTCTAACAGAGCAAACTTTGTAAAATGTTCTAAGATATTAGTCCAAGTTTTCAAACTAAAATATTATACTCCATCCTAAAATATTATACATACTTATTTTATACTAAAATATTATGCTTTTTAAACTAAAATATTATACTTTTTAAACTTAAATATTATACTCTTTAAACCAAAATATTATACTATGTATGGAGATAGATTACACGGAAGCATGGCGAAATAATTCAATTCTTCTTTATTTTCCGAAGAACGGATATAAAATAATATTTGCTTAATTGTTATAAAACAGCAGTTGTTTGCCATTAGTTGTTTTATGGCAAAAATTAATTCAGAAATGTTTGATACCTATATCTAAATGGTAATTCTACTGTCCTAACTACTAAGTACAAGTGCAAAATTATGTATTCGAAGCTTGAGAATGATGTGTTTTATTACACGTCCAAACGATGACGTTATGTTTTATTTATATGTGAGTTAGTTGGCTCTGACTGTCCGTTAAAAAGAGATATTGAAAACGCTGTTCTATAATTTAGATCTATCTAATTTTAGAAATTATTATCCTTTTTTCACTAACTTCAATGTTAAATTTACTCCAAAATTAAATTTATACTACTATTCATATTAAAAACGTGCAAATCATTTTACAACATTGGGGGAAAATTCTCCATCTTTTAAATGTCTTGAATTGTGTAAATATAAAAGTTCAAATTTTTCCAATATTTCTTCTGAATATGCAGATAAATGAAATGGTCCTTTTGCATTTGTAATATGAAATATTAAAATATCCAGCATTCAGTTTAAAATAAGACGAAGACCTTTCTTCTAGAGAGAAAATTTTTATTTTTCTTTGTTTGTACAGATAGGTAAGCAACAAGTTATTCTGCTGGTTTCTTTTCTGCCTCGTTGCTTTCAAGCCCTCCTTAAAACTGAAAAGCCTTACCATATCCCATTTTGAAGTGCTGAGAAAAGAAAGAAATTCAATGCGTTAGTCTCTCCTGGAAAAAGAAAAATGTCTTGGATGAAATGCAAACGCTGTAGAAGAGTTTTAGTTGAAGTCTTGAAAAAGGAAACTTTCCTTAGCAATTTCAGCAAATATGTATAAAAGTTTTACAGCCATAAAATATTTTTATGCTGAGCTCATATTTATAGCCACAAGTTTTTCAAGCGTTGGAAAGCGTAATT